AACAAGAACAATAGTCATAGTAATGATGATATTTTGATCACAATGATGTTATTGACGATGGAAATGAAAATGAAATTATAACAAGAACAATGCTTATGGAAATTTTAAGAATAATAATGAGAATAAGAATAAGAATAGTAACAATGATCATAACATGATGATATTGATACTATTAGTGTTACTGCTAATGATGATGGTGATGATAATGATGACAATGATATTAATAATTGTCATTATACCAATAAGTATAATAGTAATAGTATTTCAATATGAAAGATGATAATAATAACAGTAATGATTATAACAATAAAAATAATAGCGTTAGCAATACCAATACTATTAGTATTATTACTGGTAATAATGGTGGCAATACTGATACTAATAGTAATATTGATACTAACAAATAAGGTAATTCTTAAAATAAAAAAAAAAAAAAAAAAACTATGATGAGAGAAATAATAAAAAAATGGTAATGATTTCGATAATAACAACGATGACGATAACGATGACAAAAGTACAAAACAAAAATAGAAAAATAACACCAACAACACTGATGCTAATGCCAGTGGTAAGAATGAAATTACTGTCGATGAAATTATAATCAACAATGCTATAAGCTTAGCTTTTTTCTTTTTCTTTAGCATAGCCATCGTTCCCGGCCTCGTATTTTTTTTTTTTTTTTTTTTTTTTTACGTTATCATTTTCTTTGTTTCTATTACAGTTGAAGCGAAACTGACACTGTTCTTCATCATCATTATTTTTCTTCTTAATATCATCTGCATTATCATCATTATTATCGTTATTTTTTATTATCGTCATAATTTTCATCATTTTTTTTCTTGGTATTATTATCACCATTTTCATTATTTCTTTGATGTCAATTACATTAAATGGCACAAGCATAAACATAGAAAGAAACACATTTTCCCTCATAGACTTACACATCAACTCGTTCTGACTCTGTCAACCATTTCATACGAATTTCGGAATAGGGCTAAAGGAAGGACCTGACTAAGGCCTTAAAGGACCGACACAACGAACACGAAATAAAGAATGATTCTTAGGACCTGAGTCACGCTCCTCAAAGGCTTGGCAGCGCCTCGGACGCTATACATACACCGTCGCGTCACCGACTCGCGCCTCCGATGCCGCATATAAAGCTCGGGATCGTCTTCAGCCTCTTCAGTACAAGAGCGACCATCCTCGCACCTCCTGAGGCTAAAGAAGTGACTTTCATCTGAAAATCTAGTGAGCGTAATGGCGCCCATCCAGAAGTGTTACGACGTGAAGATCTCTGCCCCTGGCGTGAGCTGCCGTCGGTGCGGAGGATCCTCCAAGAGGTCCTGGGACACGTTCCTTCCCATCGCTCGAAGGGGAAGCTTCCAAGATTCGTTCTTCGCCATATACAGCACGACTTCGACGCCGCCGTCAGGGACGTTCTGAACCGATGGAGTGACGACGACCTCACACTGACGGACCGCAGGAGCCACAGCGACATCATGGGGCGGTACAGACAGCTTCGCTCTCGTAACAGGAAGGAAGAGAACCAGGCCATCACAGTGACTTCAGACAGCTCTAGTCATAAGGTAAGGCGTTCACACACACTCACACAAGCACACAAACTCACGCACACACACATAATGTGAGATATAGCGAAATTGATTTTATTCAGAGAAGTGGTTCTCAACCTCTGCAGTCTGACGGCAAACCAAAATCCTGCACTTCTCTGACACAGCAACTCTAAATTTCGTGAATATAGGAATATGAATGTATTATGAAAAATAAAACAGCAAAGAAAGCTTGATGAACTCAAATCAATGGAGTAGAGGTTAATTAAGGTGTTAACAAAGCCCCAATGTCTGAAATGAAATTTGTGTTTATAAAGAAAAATGGTCAGTGGCAAATGATAGATAACATTGAAAACACTCACACAAGGCATGCACAGCTGCATTATACACTTGGTTACTGAGGAGTTAATCTCACAGATTGTTCTGGATATGCACGACTTCATGGGTGGAGATGTGAAGGTGAAGGTAGTAGGTGAGAAGGAACTGGTGGTGGAAGGACGTATGGAGAAGGAAGAGGGAAGATCCTCCATGTCTGCACACTCCTTCAGAAGACGATTTTCCTTGCCTCATCTTACTGACATGACAGCGATCACATCTGTCATGTCTTCGGATGGAATCCTCATAATCAATGTGCCAGAAGTTGTAAGTATCTACTGGTTGGGATCTTAATTGAATTGCAGTTATACAAGTAAAATGAAATACGATATCGTTTTGTGAAATGTCAATCTGAAATTCTTCCTTCTTCAGGAAGAAGATGCACGGCAGAAGGCCACCGTCATTCCCGTCCACGTCGAGAAAACTGAAAATTCCTCAAGAATGCAGAACTGGGAATCTTCTAACACATCTTCCACTGCGTCTGCCGAGGCCACCTCCGTACAAGGAAAGTCCTTGGAGGTGGATCAAGAGGAATGTGAATGTGCAAGATGTTCTTTGGAAAATAGATGCCAGGCTAAGAACACACAGATTCCACTCAGCAATGCATCTCACTCACGGACTGAGGAAGGAGTTTCTGCCTCAAAACAAAGTTCTTCAGTGTACACAAAATCGTCTCAGAATGAAGGTGCAGAAATTGGCTTATGGATCATGGGACACTTTCCTGCCCATCACACGAAGAGGAAATTTCTTCAAGGACTCTTTCTTCTCTGATATACATCAGGACTTCAACTCCGCCATCAAGGAGGTCCTGGAAAGGTGGAATGACACCGATCTGAGGCTGAGAGACCGCTGGGACGGCGCCGATTTCCTCGACCACTACAGGCAGCTTCGATCCCGCGACTTGAAGGAGGAGAATCAGGCTGTCACCGTCGCATCAGGCAACTCTAGTTATAAGGTACGTCTCATCTTCACAAACCAATTTAGCAATGGATGGAGCATTTCTGATGACATGGACATTACTACTTGAACTGTGGGTACAGATGAAGTCCTAATCATCACTACATTTGTCACAGATTGTGTTGGATGTCCATGACTTCATGGCTGGAGATGTGAAGGTGAAGGTGGTGGACGAGAGGGAGTTGTTAGTGGAAGGACGTGTGGAAAAGAAGGAAGAGGGAAGCTCATCCCTGTCGTCCTATTCCTTCCGACGACGCTTCACTCTGCCACAGCACACTGACATGACAGCCATCACATCTGTCATGTCTTCAGACGGTATCCTGACGATCACTGCTCCTGCAAAGGTAAGATTTTTGTTTAATATTTGGCCTTAAGGTCGCATAAATGAACTCTAAACAGTAAATAAATATTGCATGATTGAAAAGAGAAAGTTTCTCATGATTAAAATCTTACATTTGACAGAACAGCAAGGCTCAGCAAGCCAAAAGCATCCCGGTCACAGTCGAAGGAAAACGGGCTGTTTCTCAGGAATCCTCCTCCTCTTCCACAAGACAAGTGTTACCAACGAATCTGTCAAGGAAAGGAAAGAAGATTGTGAATGCCTCCACTCTTCCAAGACAAGCGAAGAGAAGACTTCTCAGAAGCCAAATGGGATGAAGATTCCAATCCAGATTATCGGATCTGTGACAAAGGAGTCTGAAAAGGCTCGAAGCTCCTCTGCAGACACCTACGTAAGCTCTCAAGAGAACGTCAGTCAGACTCAAGTTCAGGAGCAAAAGCAAAGGAAGGCTGAAACCATAACTTCTAAGGAATCAAGTGCTGCAACATCTACCTCCGTTAATAGAGAAAGGCAGTCTGGTGAGAAGAGGGAATGCGAGTCTCAGGAGAAATCGTCCCTTGTGGAAAGTACAAGTTGCCACGAATCTGGAAGCAAGTTCATCCCTATTAGAAGAAGAGGACTTTTCTTTAGCGATTCTGTGTTTCAAGACACCAGGGATGACTTCCACAGGGCAATAAAGGAGGTGCTAAGGAGCTGGGGAGAGGAATCGTCCATGTTCGATGCTCTCACAAGCTACAGAAATCTTCGTTCTCGAGATTAGAGAGGAGAACCAGGCTGTCACGTCACTGGAGGACGAATCTTACCATAAGGTAAACATAGTCGCTTGTGTTTGTCCTTTAAGATGCTCTCTATAATCTATTGTGTGGTGCCTTTACTTTTATGAGTCTGATCTCTATGTTTCATTTCAGTTTGTGCTCGATGTTCATGATTTTATGAACGGCGGAGAGATCAGCGTGAAGGCAGTGAACGATCGAGAGCTGGTGGTCGAAGGTCACTTGGAGAAGAAGGAAGACGGTTCCAAGTCCAGCAAGCGGTTCCTTCGGCGCTTCGTTGTTCCTGGAGACATTCAGTTGGAGGCCGTCACTTCGGTCATGTCTTCTGACGGTGTCCTGACAATTTCGGCTCCCAAAAGAGTAAGCTCATTCCTTAAACCGTTTTAGTTATTAATTTTGAAATATATATTGGAGTTTCAGTTGCGATTGAGAATATATATTTTAGTAAAGTCTTACACCTTTCAGAAGCCAACGATTGCAATCCAAGAAGTCAAAGTACCAGTGACCATCGAGGAAAAAGGAAGCAAGAGCCACACAGAGATCGAAGACGAAATCATGAGCTCGGAAGGAGGTAGCCATGAGGCTTCATCAGCATTCAATATCAGCACTGAAGGAAAACAAAACGTGAAGCTCATAATGTAAAGGAAACTTCCGCTAAGGCATCGTCTCGGTTCTCCTCCGTCGATACTGCTTCGTTTACGTCAAATGTGAGTACAAAGAAAAGCAAAGTGACTAATTGTCCAGGATAGTATAACAGAACTAGGGCTTGGGTAGTTGCGTATGTATGAATGAACAAACGATCTCTTCCACAGGAAAGTCAAACACGCAGGCACGTCATTCCGGTTCACTACGAAGTTGGTAATGAAAGCGACAGCCTCGAGCAACTTGATCAGCAGCGTCAAGTTACTGTGAGGGACAGTCGAGTCTCCGATGATGCTGGAAAATCGGAGTGTGAGGCGAAAGTGTCTTCTGATTCCCTTAAGAGTA